AAAAGAAAATGTCATAGAAAGGGGATTGGGGGTACTACTCTATTTTTCTTCATCTACAATGTATTTTTACTTTTGTTGCATTTTTAGAGATATATTTAAAGAAGGCACCCCATAAGGACATACTGGAAAGTATATTTAAATATAACAGCAAACCTAATTACTTAATTTCTTTTTTTTTTAAAGAAAGCTGTCAAATGAGCACATTAATACATCAAATTCCAAATTAGCACATTTTAAAGGTGTCTTGAAAGCTTGGATAACTTCTGGCATAAATATTACATAGATATTTCTCATTAACTGAAACCAGTCAATTTGATATGATGCAAAATTCTATGAGCTTTAATTTTGGTCTTCCCACGGACTGAGAAAGTGAAATTTAATTAGAAGCTCTGATATCATGTCTCTCTTACCTGTATTTGTTATCAAATTTCATTTAAAACAAAACAGAAACCATGAAAACATCTACTTGAAAATCATCAAGGGTCATTTGTTTTAAGATTTAAGCAGAATCTTGATCAAAATGTCAAGATTTTTATTTCTTTATTTTTTAGTACTCTTATTTAAGAGCAATCAGTGAAAGGTAGACAGTTGTTAGGAAACACGCCAAAGGAAATGAACGCTGAGCAGGCATTTTTGCCAGAAAAATCTCTCATGTCAGAAAAGTACTTCGTACCAAAGGACCTGCACATGAAACTCCTCCGTTTGCTCACTGATTCTAGCAGCAGAACCTGTCTTTTCCATGGGCAGCTCCTCTCCCAACTCGAAAAAGAATGGGAGTCCTTTCTATGTCAGCCAAGGGCATTCCCTAAGATTCAGGAACTCTGCTGCTCAGCTCTACAAGAAAATTAGAAAATTAATAATTTTATGTTTCATGTTTCCTACCTGGTAGATATCCTTTGGGACTTAAACATTTCATAGGTTAAGGTTTTAATGAACAGATCAGAACACAGCAGTAAAGCAAAAAGGCCAGAAGGATCAAGATGTTATTGAAAATAAAAATGTGAGAAAGTAAATGTCATGAGTGTGTGGTTGTTAATCCTACCCGTTTGCCGATGATCATTTGGGGCAAAGTCACCCTAACTACCACGCTTCTTTCCAGCTCTCGACATCGCCAAAGGGTCTATTTTACCGGTGGGGACTTGCCAACGGAAGTCTTGATGGGATGACACTTGCTCTGTAGAAGTAACCAGATAGAAATTAGAATCAGGGCAAAAAGACGAGATGGCTGATGGTCTGGCAACACGTTTCTTGGTGACAATGTATCCTGAAACTAGTAATTTCAGAATGTGAAAGGAATTCAGCCGAGCTCCAACCTGGAAGACAGCCGTGAATGTTCTCAGCAAGAATCTCAGCAGGGCAACAGCTCCTTGTGTTTTAGGCCCGGAACGGCTGATCCCGCTGAAAGGGCTTCTGAAATCTTGCCTCCTTTGTCGTCTAATTGGCTGCATCAGTAAATTGCTGGTGGCGAGCTTTAAAGGTTATAGAACAGGAATAGGCTGCAGCTTTACGGGAAGGCAGGTGTGAGGCCATTAAACGTGCACTGTATCCCAGTGCTTTTAATCCCACTGACCAATTACTTGGAATTTAACTTGGAGCAAGTAACAGAAAACTGGGTTCCTATGGCGTCCGTGTGTATGTTTCAAATACATAGGTGTGACATATACTATAATTGAACATGAAGAGTCATTTATGTGTTTTCTTTCTCTCTCCCTTTTCTTTTCTCTTTGGCTTGCTTAAAATTTTTAAGGTGACCCCACTTACCTTAACATATTGGAAAACGCTTCTTTCAATAACTTCTTAGGAAGGGTTAGTAAGAATTCAAGATTGGTTGGAGATTTCTACCAGATGAGACATTTTCTTCCTTTTTTTTTTTAAATTGAAGTATAGTTGATTTACAATGCTGTGTTAATTTCTGATGTAGAGCATAGTGATTCAATTATACATGTATATATTCTTTTTCATTATAGGTTATTACAAGATATTGAATATAGTTCACTGTGCTATATAGTAAGTCCTTGTTGTTTATCTGTTTTATATATAATAGTGTGTATCTGCTAGTCCTGAACCCCTAATCCTAATGATTCGGTGTCTTTAAATCAAGAATTCATGTGATTGTTTCACTTGCATTAATTGCTCTAGAAGTGTCTGATTTTTCTTTCAACCTCCCTTTATCTTTAATGCTTCTACGGAAATATCTAGAATTTATAAAAACATTCATCACAGAAATCCAATTTAACCAGCATTCGTTGGGTATCTATGGATTGATTAGAGAGTAAGAGTTTACCACATGAAGAACAGAAAGAATTTAAGATTCACCCTCTATATGGGGGACATCTATATGCTGAAAATTAATTAGAAATAAGTACAATGCAATATGTTATCAATTACCAAAATGAATAAAATACATGTTTAATGCTCTGAGATGTGCAGCCTAGGTAATCCTGTCAAGATTTTCAGGGAAGAAGGGACTTGAAGGAAGCCAGAAGGATGGTTTTTGAATAGAGAGCATGAGCTTAGCCAGAATAAGGGTTCCTGTAAGGGTAAATAACTTGAGAAAAGGAATCCCCTGAAATTTCCTTTTTGTTAGCAAAGAGAGCACGTTACTTCTCAAAGCCAAGCTTGAGAACAAATGAGGCACTGTGACTTTTTCATCATGGAAAGAAAAAAAATAAATAAATAAAGGTAGTTGGTTCATTTCTCTCATCAGCAGGGCTGCCTTGTGTTGTAAATCTTGGTAAAATTCTCGGGGAGGGAAATGTATGATTTGGAGACCTGTGAATTTGCTGTAAAATAACTCTAGAAAGGACAGAAGTCCATAGAAACCCAAAGTTGGCTGGAATTCCCTAGAGGATGTCTTGTTTGCCCCTTGTGTCAAACAGGAGGTCAAAATAAGACTGGAGAGTGTGCCCAGTAGAAATAAATGGGACCCAGTTAAAGTTATACTGGTAGATAAAGACATGTATCCTATGAGAAGAACTGGGGTCTCTGTGATTAATGCATCTTTTCCTCCCCAGAAGTCCATTTAAAAGGAAGGCCAATAAGAGAGAAAATACAAGTAGGATACTGTAAGCTTCCTTGGCCTTTAAAAGGAGCCCACAGAGCTAGCTGGCATGTGACAGCAAGGCTGGAAGTTGTGGGAAAGCGTGCAACAAATTTTATGATGACCTTTTCTCTAAAAAGCCAATGTCCACCTACAAATACAGGGTTTGGGGATGAGAGCTTCCATTCTGCCATGGCTTGACGTCCAAGATTTGGGCTTCCCTGCAGCCCTCCCTTTCTGGGGTTCCTGTGTGGCTGGCTCATTAAAGGGCAGCAAGAGAGGTGTGTCATCAATCATTGGGTCAGAAGGCATGGATTTTGGATTTTTTAAACATGGCTCTGAATTCAAGGGATTTACTGGATTTGTTGGGTTTGTTTGTTTGCTCGGTGTGTTTATTGAGTCTGATATCAAAAGCACAAGAGTAGGAGGGATCCAATCTTTTTGAAGAAAATGACAAACAGGAATTGGAGTTATCCAGCCAATGCTCACTAAACTTTGGACCAAAATTACCCATAGCAAATTCAATTAATATTTGAAGTCCTCTACCCAGGAGAGGGAGAATGCTCTGTTGTAGGATTCAGCTGTTAAACAACTGTGTAATAATGCTAACATATTATTTTCAGCCAAAAATAAAGCTCACAATTTAAACATCACCTTAACTGCATGTACCCTACAAAATCTTGTTAAAGTTATAAGAAGTACCCCAGAGATGACCTAGAATTTAAAATGAGTTTAGAAGCTAGCATTTTAACCAGAAGTTTGGAGCCTGGATTTTATTTCTAACTCAAAGTACAAGAATCAAAAAAAAAATTTTTAATATAATCCCAATACAAGTTTGAAAGATTATTTTGTACTTAGTTCAATAATTATAGTTTTCATTTTTTGAGTGTTTATGATGCACCAGGTGCTATCACAAGAACTGGATCCAGCATTACATCATTTCCTACTCATATCCTCCTACATTGAGAGAGAAACAATCGTGCTCACTTTTACACAGGGATGCTGAGGAAGAGCAGGTGAACAGGGTGGTCAGATCTCAGCAAATAACCCCAGAGAAGGACAACCCAGGTCTACTTAACTCTTGATTGGGTGTTGATAACCGTGACCATATCCCACCCAGCTGCTGCTGCTGGTTTCTTTCTTTTTTTTTTTTTTTTTTTCTTTTTCTGTCCATCTTCTTGATTCTGGTTTAGAACTGAAAAAAAAAAAAAAAAAAAGAAATCATTCTAAAATCAAGGAATAAGGAAGATGAATAAAAATTCCAGAGGACGTAAAGACAGATAAGACAGTTTGTGGAAAAAAAAACAAAACCAAATACACAAAGAAACAATTTTCAAGGAATGTTTGATCTTCTGAGGTGACGGTGAGATACTGGTAACAGCTACACATATGAATATCTAAACAGACCTTTCAAGGCTCCCTTCGTCATCAATTTCATTGCAGGATTCATTTGAATGGAAAAGTGTTCATAATCAAAGATAATGATTCCCAAGGTTTGGGAATGAGCAGGTATAGAAAAATGAATCTTCTTCATGGTTGATATTAACCCTTCTAAATACCAAACATGATCACTTATGAAAGAAATATTTCTAAAATGCACTCTGTATTGTCCATGCCTTCTGAATAAGATTATACCAAGTATTATTTAATCTTTCTGATGATTTGTGGTCTTAATTCTGAACATCACCTCTTGTTCTGGCTGTAGCTTAACTGAGATGCACTCTGAGGCAAGTGAGGTGCATCGGATGACTTCTACACGACCTGGGCCTTTATCATTATGGTTTTTATTTATTGCATTTGCTTCTTGGTAATTTTCTTCTATTTCCCTTTCTATCTTTGCCCTATTGTTTACCTTCCTATTCTACTCCTGCCCTTTCTTCATCTCTTTCTTTCTCTTTGCCATTCTTCATTTTTCAAAAAAATTCATTAGGAATATAAATTGGTGCAACCACTATGGAAAACAATATGGAGGTTCCTCAAAAAATTAACACTAGAACTAGCATATGACCTAGCAATCCCACTTCTGGGTATGTATTTAAAGCAAATGAAAACAAGATATCAAAGAGACAGCAACACTCCCATGTTCACTGCAACATTAGTCACAATAACCAAGATATGGAAATTACCCAAGTATCTATCAAGAGATGAATGGATAAAGAAGATGTGATACATACATATACAATGAAATACTGTTCAGCTACGAGAAAGAAGAAAATCCTGCCACTTATTACAACATGGATGGACCTTCAGGACATAATGAAATAAGTCAGAGAAAGACAAATACTGCATGATAACTCTCATATGTAAATCTTAAAAAGAAAAGAAAAAAGGAAAGAAAAAAATCAGACTCATAGAAATAAAGAGTAGAAAGTGGTTGCCAGGGGCAGGGGGGTGAGGGAAATAGAGAGAGGTTGGTAAAAGGGTACAAACTTTCAGCTATAAAATGAATAAGGTTTGAGCACCTAATGTAAAACACAGTGACTATAGAAAAATTAAAACTCTTGTTTAAAAGGAAAGAAGAGCCATCCTGTACGGAGGGCCTACCATGGGCCAGCCATGAGCTAAGCAGTAAGGACATAACAGGGACTGACAGACAGTCCTTGTCAGTAAGTGGCTCACAATCTTAAGCTGTCAACTGTCACTTGTTTTAGTTGCCTGGGTGCCTCTAGAGTTGGCACCTTCATGTCCTGATTTACTGTTTGCATCATGCTTTGTGTCATTTGAACTACAGTGAAAATAAATAGCCTCTATGTGAAAGCTTGAGAGACCTAGGGATCTATGAATTTTATGAAATTTTATAGACTTTCATGAGAATCAGTAATTTAAGATGACTATTGACATGTGTCCCAGTTCAATACTGCAACCGGCACCGTATGGTGAAAAGAATGTAGATGTTTATTCTGTTGCTTACTACCTGTATGACCTTGGCTAAGTCACGTATGACCATTGGCAAACTGGGACTGTGATGAGGATTCAACGGAAACATCAATTCCCTAGTCCACTGCCTGGTGTTTAAGTATTAACCATTTTTACTATTTTGAAGAGGGAGAACTTTTCTATTTTCTTTTTGTAAAATTAGATTTTCAAAGATTGTTTCATTTTCTTTTAATTTTTGGAATGATGACAAGCAAGATATTGCTCATTGTGGAAAATTTGGAAACTACAGACTGGTATAAAGAAAAAAAAGGATGAATACTTTCCTTGTGATGTTTTTCTTTATGCATGTACCTATTTTTTGACATATATGAACTATACTGTTCATTCATCTTCATTTTTCTAGATTTTTCAAAAACAAATTTTAAATATATTTGAGGTCAAATGTATAAATATCTCCCATTGCCAATGGTGTGCTGGTAAATCAGGTCTCAAAAAAAAATACCAATTAATAAATAGACAGATAAATAAGTAAATAGATAAAAGCCCTGATTTGTAGCATTTGCCAATTAATATGGCATAACTACTTCTATTATGGATGATATTAAAATACACCTAGTTCAATAACCAGGTATTAAAATTCTGAATATTTATGAAATTCAATATGAACATACTACTACTTTTCTCCATATATTCAATTTGAAATGAAGTCTTAGAGTTTTTCCCTAGTAGCTAACTTATTGTTTTAGTACCATGCACGAAAAAATCCTTTTAATTTTATTTTTATATGCCTTTGATATGGGCTTCTGCTTTTAGGGTATATCACATGCTTATATTTATTAGGATTTGTTTCTAGGCTTTTTAAAATAGTTTTTATTCATCTGTTTATCTTGCAATCCCAACCATCTAAATTATTTTGGCCTTATAATTTATCATGCTCTTTGGAGATAGTGATTATGTGTTTTTATCAATGTAACCCCTGGCTCCAGAGAGATTCCTTATGTGTGATAGGTTCTCAGAAAATATGTTTTACTTCCTGGCATGATAAGTTCTTCAAGGAGGCCTTGATGGTCTAAGGCATGTGCTAAGTGCTTACTAGACCCAAATACTTAGCCACAATTCTCTAGAATTTTGTCCTTAAGAGAAGTCTTTGGACACATGTATCAGTTATCTATTGCTGTGTAACAAGTCACTCTAAAACTGAGAGGCTTGAAAAGAGAATCTATTAATTCCCATGATTCCATGGGCTGCTTGGATGGTTCTTCTGCTTGTTTTTGTGGACACACTCATGAGGTTGCACAAAGCTGGCAAATCTGTGGGCCTGGGCTCCGCTAGGAAAGCTGTGGTAGTTGGGCCCCTCTCTGTGTGGTCTTTTATCTTCAGTGAAGCTGAACCTGGCTGTCTCACATGGTGGAAGCAACATTTCATAAGGGCAAGCCCCCATACTTGTAATCGCTGATCAAGATTCTGCTTGCAACATATTTGCTGATGGTCCTATTGGCTAGAGCACGTCACATGACCAGACTCAATGTTCATATGAAAGGATGCTACATAAAAATGTGAATACTGGGAGATGTGATTCATTGATTCACTCATTCATGGGAGGCATTAGCCTATCAATCTGCAACAGTCTCTCTCCTTTTCTGATCCAGTTGGGTCACATGGTTGGCCTCCATATAAAAAGAATAAGTATCCAATGAGCTGATGATAGATGTTATTTTTTAAGTAAATCAATACTTATTATATTCTTGGCATACATTATTTCATGTACATGTGCTATTTATATATCAGTTCCAAAAGGACTAGAAGATACAATAAAAAGCAGATACAAGATGAAGCATTAAAAATACTCAAAAGCTTTGAAGGCTAACTTTGTTGTTTTAATTTAATATTAAATTTAATATCGAGCTTCCTTGGAATCAAGGCAAAAATGGAGAAACATGATAGGTCAATTGCTCTTTATTACTTATTAAGAGAAAGCTCACTATTTTTAGAAGCAATCATCTTCTTCTTGTCTCTAAATATATACAGCATCACAGAGAACTGGGTATTCCACAGAGTATTAAAGTGGAGAGTGTCCGTTCTCCAGACATCTTGTGATAAAAACCAAAGGCCTAGCAATAAAATGAGATTCAGTGAAGATGTTTCTGACATGGGATAAACTATAGGATGAAGGAATGCAGATTTCTGATGTGTTAACATAATACAGATTTAGAACTTTAAATATCTCTAATTATAAATGCAATCGTTGACCACAGCGACACTATCAGAGACACCTGGGTCACATGCTTCCACCCATGGAGTTCTGATCCTTCCTGTCCACTCACTCTAGGATGGTCCCCCAAAATACTGCATAGCTTTTCTCTCCCTTCTCTTATTCAGTCTCTACTCAAATGCTCTCTCAACCTAATTCTTCACTGATCATGCAATTGAGATCAGTGTCTCTCCCCACCCACTTCCCTGCAGACATCACTCTCCATTCACTCACCCTGCTTTATTTTTTCCTCACCATTGGTTGTTGTCCCCATTCAGTAGCCACAACTGCCACCATGTGATACAGCCAGGTTCAACTTCTTTGAAGATAAAAGACCACACAGAGAGAGTGGCCCAGCTACTGTAGGTTTCCTAGTAGAGCCCAGGCCCACACTGATCCTCCAGCTTTGTGCAACCTCATGAATGTGTCCACAAAAACAAGCAGAGGAGTCATCCAAGCAGCCCATGGAATCATGGGAATTAATAGATTCTCTTTTCAAGCCTCTCAGTTTTAGAGTGACTTGTTACACAGCAATAGATAACTGATACATGTGTCCAAAGACTTCTCTTAAGGACAAAACTCTAGAGAATTGTGACTAAGTATCTGGGTCCAGTAAGCACTTAGCACATGTCTTAGACCATCAAGGCCTCCTTGAAGAACTTATCATGCCAGGAAGTAAAACATATTTTCTGAGAACCTATCACACATAAGGAATCTCTCTGGAGCCAGGGGTTACATTGATATTGCAAGCACTACTGCACATCATCCCACCATGATTTTTCTCCAGATGGAGACTTAACATTAATTTTGCTGGACTTAGTTTGAGGACTTTTATGAGAACATTAGATGCATGAAATGCTCATTCACAATGTGGCTGCCATGATCCAGTAACATAACTTAAAAAGTCTTAGCTCCAAGATTGGCACACATAGTGAATTTTCTCTTTCTCATCACATATATAGGAAAGAGGCTGGAGTTGACAAAGGAGAGATCTAGCTTTTTTTTTGTTTTCCTTTCCTGAAGGCAATTTATTGGACTATCCTAGGGATGTTTATTTTCTTAACTATAGGTCACAAGACTCAGAGAGCACTAATGAAGGAGATTGGTGGCTGGGGCAGCTGAGGGGTTTCCCCGTTTCTTCCAAGTCTCTTCTCAGACTGAAAAAAAAAAAAAAGGTCCCCTGTAAATTTTATGACTGCAGTGTCAAAAGTCTTCTGTCCAAATCGCAGTAAATATTCTAATGAAGTCTGGAAAGAAAGCCATTTGTAATGGCTTGGGGCAGAGTATTAAGATAGCCTGTTTCTCGTTAGTCAGTCATTAGAGAGATCTAACATGCATGGGAAATGGTTTCCTGTTGTAAGTGCTTTAAAACCAAGTTTTAGGAAACCCCGTTTCCTGCCGGCTCATTTGGAGACAGTAATGTGCCAACTGGTCAGACTTTTCAGATGGCCGAATGGTTGCCTCCTCAGCTGCAACTGAGTTCAGCTGCAGTGACTTCTGACAGTAGACTTTGCATCTCGGGGGTCTTGGTGAGAAGTAGACAGGTCCTCTGTGGAAGGACATCTGGACTGGGCAATACTGGGGGAACCTTTGCCTCCAGTCTGAAGTGACTCATGACGTGAATCAAAAACAGGAGAATCTCCCAGCTCAGAGCCTGGATGCATGGCTCTAGATCAGACTGATGGAATTGATGGGAAAATGGTGGATAAACTCTGGTTTGGGAGGGGCCATATGGCTGATGGGAGAGGGAATTCTTTCAACTACCTGATGTGCTGTGCATTAAAATGGGATTTTCCAAAACAAGGAAGTCCCAGAGACTTCAATTAGGATGTAGATGAAAGTATTTGCTAATCAAATCCATTTGTTTCTTTTTGTGTGTGTGAGATGAGGGTCGATACTGTACATGGAAGCAGGAAATTGATGGATCCAAGAAGACCACACATTTCCTCACCTCCAGAAGACACCCTCTGTAACAAATGCCCAAATCAAAAAGGGAAAGCTTAGATGCTAATCCATCATTGCCATTTCACCCAGGAGAGGACCCCAAGCATACTCACCTCCGGGTATACCGTGCCATTCTCTGAGAGGGCGTAGCCACCCATAGCACTATATATATATATATATATATATATATATATATATATATATGTTTTCTTAACTAATTATCAGAACAATGCAGAGAGAAAGTACTTTCATTATCCTCTATAATAAATTTTGGGGGAGGGTGCAATTCTTCATTCCTCACTTCCTCCATACTCCTGCCATAGCCTCATTTGGGGCAGAATTTATCCTTTGACTTTGGGCTTGGCCACATTATTGTTTTGGCCAATGATAGACAGAAGTGCCAGTCTAAGCCTATGTCTTTAGACCTGTGTTTTGAGGGAGCTTGTTACAGCACAATAGCTAACTGATATATCTCCATTTTACAAATAGAGAAAGTATGACTCAGAGATCTTAGTGGGGATTTTTCCAAGGCACAGAACTTCTAGCTGTTTGAGTCACAAATCAAGCCTAGAGATATTCAATTCTTAACAATTATGCTAAACTCCCTTCCCAGAGACTCTCCTATTGATGGGCTAGTGAGTTCCGAGAAGTGTCCCATGGTTTGATCTTTCTTTACTTTTAAGATAGACTCTAATGTCATCTTTTTGGACTGGAACAACTAAGGATAGAATTGATTTGCCAGCCAGGTTCTTACCGGCTGGGGGAGGCAGAGAGACCTAGAGAATCCATCTCATCCACTATCTTGAGACCACATTGAAGACCTTGTCTCTGTACCCTGATCAGCCTATTTCTGCCAGACCTTGGTCTTCTTTCCTCCTTTCCACCTAAGCTGATTTCAAGAGATGAGCACTTACATTTTAACAAGGGAAATATGATTTTAAAAAGCCTTCATAAACCGAAGTAACCAAATGTTGATGGCAGAATTTCAGGTAAGTTGTTAGGCAGTTGGGATAAAAGATTTGGTTTGCCTAGAACATCTTACCCAGGAGCCACTTGGTAGGCAGGCCCTGGTAGGAAGATGGCTTGAAGACACCATCACAGATCGGGAGAGCCTTGGTCAATAGTCAGGAGATACACACTGAGGCCCGCTTCTGCTGCTAACTCACTCTGAACTTGAAAGGCACCCTCTCTCTGAACTTGAACTTCCCCAATTGTCAGAGAAAGCACACTTTTCTCAGTCACTTTCGTCTTTCTCATGCTCTGATTCTCCATCTCAAAACACAATGCCCCAGAAGATCCAGGCAGTACCACACGTACAGAACTTGAGTCAAGTTTCCCCCTCTCAGAACATCAGATCTGAACCTGTTATTTTCCTGATGAGCTCTGAACAACCCAAGATTTCATGTCACTGGGTAGAGCATAGATATAATTTGGAAAAGAGGAGATTTATAGAAAGTACAATAACAGTCCTCATTATTTATCTTAAAAAAAATCTTATTTAAATAGAGATGGTGCATTTAAAGTTGCATTTGATTGAACAACTGTCCTTTTTTTTCAATTTCCCCTGACAAAAGCTATGAATTATTAATTTCTGTCATTGTATTCACCGAACAAATGTAATTGCAAGTAAATGTCTGAAGTTAATGAAAAAATTAAGAGAAAAAGATTTCTTTATAAGAATTAATGAAACATTTCCACAAACCTCTTTGAAATCATGATTATGAAGCTCCACGACATTTCTTTGGAGCTGCGTATCCAGAGCAAAGGGGGCTGAGCTCTACTCTTTCCTTGGCAGGAAGGATGAAAACATTTTATCAGCATTGTACCAGCTGTGAAAATTCATACATACAAGGATTCTAACCTTCACCCTCTCAAATAGTTCTGTTCTTGTTTAACTTCATTCATTTCTGAGCCATTGGTGGGAGGTCACAACAGCTACCTCTCCATCAGCTATAATGGCTGATGGCATCACTGTTCATCTTTTTATGTTACTATGACACTATGAAAAGTTATGCTTTAATTTCTTAAAGAGAAGGGAAAAAAACAAGGGCAAATATGGACTGAACCTCTGAATTAGGCTGGCATTTCACCTCAAAGCAGAGAACTGGGAAATAATTTCATGCTCTATCCTTCAAATATCCCACGAGTAAGTCTTTACCAACACTTAGATGGAACAAGAAATTGTATCTCAGTTCTATCTAGTGTCTAGCTCTCTTGAGCTCAATCCTCACCTCCCACTCCCAAGGACCGTTTACCCCTACAATTTCAGTACAGTAGTAAAAATTGCCAGTTCAACCCTAGGATACCTGGGTTCTGATTCAGTCTGTCACTTATTTGATCCGAGGCATGGGCAAGTCCTTGCCCCACCCAGAGCCCCATTTAAAAGTAGGAATAAGAATACTTATCCTCCTCCCTCATAGGACTAGTGTGAGCGCTAAGTGAAATTAAGCCCCTTCTCAACAATGAAATACAAATGTAAAAAGAGCTTACTTTTGTTTTTGTTACTTATTTCAAGTCTCTTTGTCTCTGAGGAAATCCCAGCAGCCATTCAACGGTGCAGTACTGTGGCTTCTGCATCAAAACGAAGGTTGGAGACCAGTTGTCTGCATTTCCCAGCATCCTTTGCAGTTGGGTGGGTGCTGTGTGAACGAGTGCCTAATGATCCATCAAACCTCCCACGTAGTTCTCCTGACTTCTCTCTCTCTCTTTCTCATTTCCCACTGAACGTAGAGGATCTAGCAGAGCTCTCCAAGTTTTTGCAGGTGGCAAAGGCACAAGATGGAAGGGCACGGATTACTGGATTCACCATACAGAAGTCCACTCTCTAATAAACACCCAGTAGGACTACAAGATAAGCAGAAAATAGACCTTGACTGTGTTAAGCCCTGAGGCTTGGGGCTGATTGCTGTGTCAGTTAGTGCGACTTATTCTGACTCACTCACCAGAGTGAGGAGACCTATCGGCAAGCTTGGATAAGGTCAGACAATACATGACGAAATGGAAGTGAGTCATTTTCGCTGGGGCTACTTCAAAACCATTTTTCTGGGCTATTTGATCACCAACTCATAGGCTACGAGGAGAGGTTTATGTTTGGAAAGCTTAGTTCCTGTGAGGTAACTGCTATGGTGGTATAGATCCAACAGGCATTTGATAGAAAACCCGCTCCATCTTGGTGACCCCCTAGAGCCCACACAGCCACTCTGCCACCAAGCGACGCATGGGAGCGGAGAGGGCCTGCGTGTGCTTTATGATTCTGAGGTTTGCAGAGCAGAATCTTTCCTTTTCTCTCTAGTACTGCCAGAGCAACATTAATGACCAAATAGGGCAAAGGAGAACCATATTTTGAATCTTCTCTCTCTCTCTCTTCTCTCATGCACTCGTCCTCCCAGATCTGAAGACTTTTTAAACATAAAAATGAGATTAAGTGAAAAGGCATATTCCTATAATTTGCCCAAATGTGCACATTTCAATCTATGGATAACAGAGGCTGCAAATTACCCCCAGACCAACACACTATCCTTTTTTAAGAAATCCTCTTAACTCTTACCCTGAAGTCTCCATAAATCTGCCTGATATATAGATGTCAGGCATTTTCTGGCTGTTGAAACATGAAACATGACATCAGCTGGGGATTAAGTTACAACTCATAAAGACCATGTTTATTTGCTGGTTCTGCTTAAAAATTTTTTCCAACTATCATTTTACTTAAATGGCCTCCTATTTTATGGGAAATAAAGTTCGAACTAATGAAGGCAACTTTCCTGAGCTCAGATAGACATGCAGGCTGTGGCCATCTTCATTGTAACCAAATATTTAAATTATTTAGAGCTCTTGGTGAACAATTATTGTTCATTGTTTTGACAAAATGGTCCCATGAGCTGATCTAGAGACTTCTGAAGCAGACGTGGGAGGAGACATCTAAGACTCAAAGAGAGAGGGACGTTAAGAATTAGAGGAAGAAGCCAAGATGCAAGAAAGCAGCCCAGGGCGACAGCTTGCCGCGCTCCTCCCCTTAGCAACCCTGACCTTTCAAAGGATGCTCTGAGCCATTGGAGGGCGACCTGTAGGCACGTATACAGAGGAGGCTGCCTGCTGCACCCTTTCCCCTGCTCAGCCTGTGATGTTGAAGCGACCGAGTAGGCACGTATACAGAGGAGGCTGCCTGCTGCACCCTGTCCCCTGCTCAGCCTGTGATGTTGAAGCGACCGACCAGAGACTCCATTTCCAAACAGCTGGAGCTGGTATGAGAAGGAATTCCTCCTGTTTAAGTAAGGGTCCAGGGGATAGGAACAACCATGGTAAGGACTAAGTTTTCATCATTAGAAACTCTGGTATTTAAACACTGCAACCCTCCTCCTAATCTCACACACCTCTGAAAAAAAAGAAAAAGCTAAACCTCAGAATATGAGTTTCTTAAAAAGTTTGAATCCCCAGTGCTTAGTTCAAAGTAGGTGCTTAGTAAAATTTGTTGAGTAAATTCTGCTCATCCAACAACTCTGGGCTTGTGTGCAATGAGGCAGCTGCCTGAATCATCTTATTTTAGTAGTGTTGCCCATTTTCCCTAAAATTCCCTTTCAGAAAGTCTGCCATTACTGATCAAAAAAATATATATATATATAATAAATATAATAATAAAAATATACATACCTGTCACTTTATCTTAGCAGCAGTGAGAAGTCCCCTTGTCTCCTTTCCTTTAAAAAAACCTTTTCATAAATTGCATCATAATTTTTGCTTTTCTTGTGTTTTGGATTTTTGCTTATGCGTGCCACTTTATCTGAAGGTCTCTGTTTCAGTGGAAATAATCCTGCAAGAGATGTTAAAAGGCATTCTTTATAGCCTGCAGTGAATCAAATGGATTTCTTCCTACCTGGATCAAAGCGGCATTGGGGCTGGACTTTGGGTAGTGGGACAACGTTGCAGGAAGAAGAAATCAGGACCAGATCCAGGTTTGGCTCAGTCACAGACTGCCTCGCTCTGGCTGAGCCACAAACAAATTTTCCAAGGGTGACCTTTCCTACCCATCACAGAACACTATGTCTAATGTTCAGAGGGATTTCACATATTAGTAGTAATGTGTTATCTCATCACTGATTTGAGGTTCCAGCTCAGGGGTCAGTAAACTTCAGCTTAGGGGACAAATCTGGCCCTCTGCCTGGTAAGACCCAAAAGTGAAGAACGGTTTTTATATTTTAAAATGATTGAGACAAAAAAAAGAAAATCAAAGGAAGAACAATGTTTCATGATATGTGAGAATCTGATGACATTGAAAATCAGGGCCATCCATGAAGTTTGCTGGGAATCAGCCATGCTCGTTCGTTTCCATACTGTCTGTAGTGAATTTCAGGACTCAAGGGCAGAGCTGAGTAGTTGCAACAGAGATCATTAGCTCTGTAAAGACTGAAATATTTACTATTTGGCCCTTTACAGAAAAAGTTTGCCAACCTCCGTTTTTACTTGGCATTTCATGGCTTAAGAGACATGGTGTCCATGGGGTTTTTGCATTTCTAAACTTTGTTTATTGGCGTTATTTTTTAAGCAAGCCACATTTCCCAGGCTGGATATTTGTGAGTGTGTGTGTGTGTGTGTGTGTATTAAGATACACATAACAAAAAATTTACAGTTTTCACCTTTTTTAACTGTACAATTCAGTGAAAATCGGCATTTTTACAAAGTTGCACAACCATTACCACTATCCATTTCCAGAACATTTTAATCTTCCCATACAGAAACTCTGTACCTATTAAACAATAAATCCCCATTTCCCGCCTCCTCTCAGCCCCTGGTCACCATGATTCTCCTTTCTGTCTCTATTAATTTGCCTATTCTGGGCCCCTTATGTAGATGGAATCATATCATAGAAGATCTTCTGTGTCCGGCCTCTTTCACTTAGCTTAATATTCTCAAGGTTCATTTGGGTTGAGTCATAATTGCATGCCTTTGTAAGACTGAAGTGTACTCCATTGTATAATACACCCCTGGGCATTCTTGTTCAGCCATTGCTGCATTGTGTGCGATGTGGCTCTCCAGATGCTCGTATGTTTGGCATCAATGAGATTCACAGGCCAAGGTCACCATGCTCAGAGGGAGGTTAAGGGAAGGGATGAAGTCCTCCTTTTCTGAACATGAACACCTCCATCCACTTTGGGATAAGATCAGGTGGTTCAAGGAATTCTTTGGTCCAAGCACTCACTTCTTATATATTCCAACACTTTAGGGAGTGAAGTTTCAGGATTCTCCTAGTTGCAGAGAAAAATCTAGGAGCTTCAGAGATAGATGTTCTCTTCACAGAGAAGAATCTGTGAAATGTCTCAGACAGAGGTGAATTTTCATCCATTTCCTAGACTTAAATCCTCTGAGTATTTGCAAGAAAATATGTCAAGTGTTGGTAGTGACTAGATACATGATTGTTATCAAATCGTTGTACTTTGAATTCAAAAGATCTAAACAAGAAAAGTGCTAACAAAAAGCACCATTCTTCAAACAATGTCTGGTGAATACATTAGTTACCATGCTAGGCACTGAGACTACAAAGATGGACAACACATATCCCATAACATCAAGAAACTGAAGTCTACCATCATGGTTCCCAAACTGTGTGCAAGGGCACCCAGGGTGCCACCGTGAATTCACAGGGGCCCTGATAGTTTAAGTTTTTGAGGCAAATGCAGTAACAGTTCTCAGACTCCTTGCAAACGACTAGCTTGAGGTAATTCACAATTTCAACATTAGATCACGCTGAATTTCTTTCAGTGACATCCTATCTCTGAGAGCTGGATTTTCTGTGCTTGCTGTGTTAAAAACCAAGAACCGAATAAACATCAACGTGAAACAGGAAATGAAGGTGGCAGGGTCCAAGACTTGAGAAGTCGTGCAGAGCCAAACAGGTACAGACATCCCATTAGAAGTAATTGTGCGTATTAGAAAATAAAATAAACAAGTATTTTTTTCTTTCAGTTTATGTTTTTTTTAGTATGCCTACTAAGTGATTAGGACATAAATACTTATCAAGTTGTTTGGATCTGGCTAATAAATGGAACTGTTAGGTATTTCTTTTGAACTAGGAGGACCCTGAAAAAAATTTCTGAACTGTGACAGGCATGTGAATTAGGAAAGTTGGTGAACTCCCAATCTTGTGACTCAGGTATGCTGCTCATTATGAATAGCAACACTTTTAAAATTAAACAGAAACAAAAGACAAAAGCTATGCGGTATATAAACAATTTCAGCAACAAGCAACGTCACTACTGTTATGATT